AGATCGTATGTATAGTATTTAAATAATAAACATTTCAACAACAACAACAAAAAAAAGAACAGTAGATTACATTTAAATATTTTATTCAGCATCAAATCCAGGTCGAACAACAATGCCAAATATTGGTAATACACCACAATTTCGTGCATTATTATGGACAAATATTGAAAAAATACTTGATTTATTATATGTTTATATTGCACAATTATATAATCTTGCAAGAGTTTTAATTAAAAAGAAAGATCCAATTACACACTGTACTTTTATTGATGAATTAATTAAAGTAAATAAAATTACTAGTTTAATTACAGATAGAAGAGTAATTTCATCATTATTGTAAAATTCTCGTTTATTTTAGCATGGTCATTCAGGTGAATTAGTTGGAAAATTTTGGTTAGGTGCTATGAAATCATTGAAAAAACAAATGAAAACATCAATGTCAGGTAAAAATTATATAATTATAAATATATAAAAAAAAAAAAACAAAAAAAAAATAATATTGTTTTTTTGTTTTGTTAACTTTAAGATTCATATCATCTTCGACAAGCATTAGAAGGCGAATATCCAAAATTATTAAAATTACAAAATGATTTAATTAATCGTTTAAATCAATTACAACCAGGTTTTAGTGATATTGAAATGGATATTATAGATGAAGAATTACATGATTCCGAACAACCAGATGAAAAACAAAAGTTTGTTGTTATTTTGTTAATTAATATTGAATTGTTTGTTGTTATTTTTTTTTTCTGTTATTAGAACAAATATACAATTAAATGAATGTTTTGATATATTCGAAAAATCTTATTTATCAATATCATTATCACGTTTATCAGATCCAATTAATCTCATGTTTAGTAGTAGTACAGCAAAATTATTACCAACACAACAAGAATTAGAAAATCTTATTAAAGTTATGATTAAGTAAGAAGAATTTAATGAAAAGAATTCATCTAGAAAGAATATCTATTCGTTGTATTTTTAAAATTTAAACAATAAAAATTTATAATATCAATAGTGTATTCATTATTTTACATTCTGACAGGTTTTTTTTTTTAGCTCAATTTTTTCTGATTTATGTAATATGTAGAGGTCGATCAGCTCCCAGTTCAGATCAGATTCTATTAGAAGAACTATTCCAACGGTACAGCCGCAGGAACTAAGCTGTTCGAAGTTCTTTTGTTTTTTTAATGCTTTAGGAACAGTAGTTCAATAAAAGAATACTCTGAAGTGAAATTCCTAGAATAGAGCAAGGACTTTTCAAGCCTGGAAATCTTTTTGCTAAAACTAGAACAAAAAAAAATGTTTCAACAGATTAGAGAATGTTTTCTACAGTTCATCAGGTCTGACCTAGAATTAAACTTGTCAATTTCTACAAAAAGATTTAATATTATAGAAGAATTTCATAATATATCTATTTGTTTGAAACTTGAGTATTTTAACTTTATTCTTGTAAGATCGGTATTCTAATCTATTTTTCTCTAACGAGGAAACATTTTCAACTGATCAATTGCTATCTTATCAAAAGTTACTTTATTACGGATTATTGACCATAAGAAATCCTCTTAGGTTTTTATATACTGATTTTTCAGCATAACAAACATTTTGCCAAATTTATTTTGGATTTGCTCAGAGAAAAAGTTACCATTTTCTAGGTAATTTGATATGCTCTATAATTTGGACAGATAAAAAAAAAATTTTGGAGGAAAGTTTGTTTTTCTGAAAAATCAGCATAGTTGATTACCTACAATCCACTGAATTTCGATAAGAATGCGATTGATTAGTTGAAAACGTTCTCCTGTAAGTGGGAAAGTCAACATAGTACAAAAGCAAATTGTTCATTTACATACAGAAGTGACGCACTTTACGACTTTTAGAGCCATACAATCCTACATTTAATTATCTGTATTGAAAACTAAATTACATCATTTTCTTTGTGAAGAAAACATAAGACATTCTAAAATATAAGATCAAAATTTATTTATTAATTCAAAAATTTTGTATCATTTTTCTTTTTTTGTTTTTAGTGAGTTATCAGTTTCAACTGTTAGTGAAGCATTAGTTAATAAAGTAGCACGTAATATAGCTAAAGCTATTCAATTATTTGCAGCAAAGTAAGTTTAATTAATTAAATGTCTTTCATTATAAATATATATATATATATATATTCTTTATAGATGCGAACAATCGGTATGACATGAATATCAAAAGAATCTATATTAAAAAACAAAAAAGTATTTCTTGTTTTCTATCATAGATTTGTACGGATAGTGAAGGAAGTCAAGTTGTTTCTGCACCAACACCAGCTCAATTACGTAATATAGCTGCAATTAATATTCTTTATAATTTCTGTTCAATGATAAATAAGGTTTAATATCATTAATGAAGACAAAAATAAAAACAAGTTTTCTTATATCTTTTTATTTAGATGCTTTCTGAACAACAAAATCTTTCATTAAATGCAACGACACGTATTACTGATGCTTTACAAGTATGAAAATATGCAGAAAACAAAACGAGAATGAAAATTTATATTTTTCTAATTTTTGTTGTTTTAGTGTGTTCATTCATTAATGAATACAGCAATTCATCCATTTCTTAATTCTGTTGCCGATTGTATTGAAGCTATACTTGCTACAATTCATACAGAAGATTTTTCGCAGTATGAAATAATTAATAAATCTAAAATAAAAAGATTTTTTTTTTTGAATTGTTTTTGTTTTTCATAGATCAGCTGCAAGTCAATCAGATTCTCAAAGTTCATTATATATGAAAGAATTACAAGAATTTATAATACGTATACAAAAAGATTATTTTAGTGAATTTCAATGTAAAGATTTTATGTATGAAAAGTAAGTTTAATATATTTTATAAAAATAGTTTTGTCTTTTTTTTTTTTTTTTTTTTTTTTATCATTTTTTAGTCTTGCACCAATTGCATGTCGAGCAATTATTTTATTTATGGAACATATTAGTCTTGTTCGACCATTAGGTGAAGGTGGATTATTACGTTTAGTTGTTGATTTTGCACAAATTGAACTTGCTTTATCACCATTTTGTCGTCGATTAATAGATTTAGGAAAACATTATAAAATTTTAAAAGCATTTCGATCATTATTAATTTTAAATACAGAAGAATTTCAAAATAATTCAGCTATTGGTGATGTTGTTCCATATGATATTGTTCTTCATCATTTATTTTCAAGAGCACCAATTGAAATGCGTTCACCACATCAAGTATGAATATAATGATTTGTTTTTTTTTTTTTCTATTTTCATTTATTTTTTGAAAGGTAATGAATTGGTCAATAACTCGATATATTCAATGGCTTGATGAACATCCGAATATGAGTGATCGATTAGCAATGATCAAGTATATTGTTTTTTTTTTTTTTATTATTATTTTGAGATTTATTTTGAATAAATATCTTTGTTTTTATTTTTTAGAGGAACATTAGAAACATATGTTCAAACAGTTCGAAATCGACAACAAAAAGAATTTGCTCCTATTTATGTTATTATTCTTAATATACTTGAAAAAGGTTTAGGATCTATTGCTTAGGACAATTTTTTTTTTATTTTATTTGTTTTTTTTGAATAACATTGTGATATAATTTTTAAGTTGGGCTTATGGAAATAAATATATAAATTGAAATCTCTATTTGAATATTATAGAATATATAACAATTGTTTGAATAGCATTTATTTGGATTGACTTTTGTTTTTTTTTTCGATAAATTTTATTGTTATGTCAAAATTTGTAAAAATATCAACGAGATGAATAGAAATACCAGGTAATATTAAAAAATAGATATGTGACATAATTGAATATTGATATGTTACGCATTATATAAAATTGAAAATTCAAAGTTTTTATGTGATTCTGCAGTAGAAAACAAATATCAATGAAAATGATTAATAAAAATATAAATTACGTGCATATTGTATGTCATACGAGCAAGAATTTCTTTTAGCCTGAAGGCAGATTTGAGTCGGAGTTGACGATGAAAAAATCTATTTTTATGAGAATATTAAAATTTTATTAAATTCTATAGATGATATTTACCTTGAGGCATGGATGAGGATGAGGGTTGATGAAGAGAAGACTTATTCTCGCCTACAAAAATATAAGAACAATACCATAGAATACCACATAGATTTAATGATACAAGTATCACTTATTGAATTTAATTACGTTTCAATGTTCTACTAAGATATATTATGCCTTAATTGACCATCAGCTCATTGATGCCTTTAGGCTTAAAAATGTCTTTTTTGTTGTTGTATGTTATGTGTTATAGAAATATATAAGACCAAAAGAATATTTGCATGAAAAGATTTCTTGTTAATTTTGAGTATCATTCTCAAAATAATTTTCGACTTTTCAAACTAATTATCATATGTTAGTATTATGATAATTTATATTAATCAAAGAAAATTTATATATGTATATTTTTTTTTTGGTGTTTTATAAATTTTCTCTTTAATTAACATAATTATTTTGGATTGAACGAAAAACAAAATGATTCTTAATCTTTTTACTTTTATTGTGATTTTTAATTTATTCAATTAATTAATAAGATTCAATTGACGTAACAAACACAAGAACAAAATGAAATTTCCTAATCAATAGAAGCACAAAATGTATTGTAATCTTTATGTTTACAAAATCAATATTTAAAGATAAAGGTATTTGAATTCTCTTCTAATTCTTTAATTTTTCTTCTCTATAGTTTAGCTTCAATCTATCTAATTCGTAATAATAAAAAAGCTTGGTAACAGTCGTATAAAAAACAAGGCCACTTCTGGTTCTATTGATTTGTGAATAATATTTCGTTTTATGATAAAAGAAAAAGAAAAATTACTTTACAGAGTAAGTGTATATCTATTACTATTAACTGAAAATAATAACAAGGTGAGCTGATTACATATATATCTGTAGAGAGGCGTAAAAAAACAAGATAGAAGAACTAAAAATAAGCAAATATAGACGTGTATGTAATGGAGTCTGTCAAGGTAATCATTGTTGGTGGTGGTGCAGCAGGTCTTGCTGCGGCTAAAACATTAGGTTCAAATGTTGATTATTTACTCATTGAAGCACAAAATTATATAGGTGGTCGTATTCGTACAATTGATGCAGGTAATTTTTGTTTTTTTATTTTTATATTTCAAATAATTATTATTAATTTCTATGATTTCAAAAACAGTTCCGAATGTTACTGTTGATTTGGTAAACAACGAATAATTATTTTTTATTTTTGTCATATTCTTAATGTTAGTAATAATATTAATAGGGTGCACAATTTATTCATGGAGAAACAAATAATCTTCTTTATGAAATTTGTAAATCATTGGATTGTATTTTACCTGTTACAGATATTAAAAGTAATGGTATGTTTTGTTTCGAGAAATAATTGAATAATAAAGAAAAGAAAAATTCTAAAATTGATTAATTAAATATAATCTCTATTATTGTGTATTTTCTTTTTCTTTTTTTTTTTTGTTGTTGTTGTTTATATAGAAATACTTGCTATAACATCTGATCGAACTATAGTTGATCCAGAAATAATAAGACAAGTTCTAATTGTATGGGAAGAATTACTTGATGAAGCTCGATCTATATTTGGTGATACAACAATACCAAAAAATTATCCATTGTCGGATTATCTTCTCGAACATTTGAAACAACGTTTATTATCTGCAATACCTTCTTTAGACAATTTAGTTGATGCATTTTGTGATTTTTTCAATAAAGGTGAACTTATTGAAAATGGTTGTTTTAAATTATCTGATTTAAGTTTAGCAGGTAGAATAGATTGTTTAATTTTATATATATATATATAAATTACATTTTCTATTTAGAATATGGATCATATGAATATCTCAATGGATTATATGAAATTGAGTTTAAAAATGGTGGTTATCGTCCATTCATATCCTATATGAAATCATTTATACCAGATGATAATCGAATTCGTTTAAATTCTGAAGTAATTCGAGTAAAATATCTTAAAGAAAATCATCAATTACTTGTTAATATTCGACATCATGATAGAACATCGGAACAACAACAACAAATAAGTGCAATATTATGTGATCATATCATATGGACTAGTTCATTAGGTTATTTAAAAGAAAATTTTTCTTCAATATTTGTTGATGAAATTGAACTTATTGAACAAAAACAAGATGCAATTAATAATCTTGGCTTTGATGTAATAAATAAAGTAAAATAATTATTTATTAAAAAATATAGAATTTCAAAACTTTTTCTTTAGGTCATAATGATCTATGAAAAATCGTTTTGGCCGGAAAATGTTGGCGATATTATTCTATTGCAAGCACAAAAACAAAAGTCGATTGAATTTTCTAATTCATTGAAAAACTTATTAAAGACGGAAAAAATTGATATTCAACTAATAAATACTATTATTGAAGCCATTCATCGATATGTAGTTTTACCATCAACAAATATTCCTATTTTAATCTGTTGGTTTGGTGGTCCAGCTGCTGTTTTATTAGAAGATCTTAGTGAATATATTATTGGTCAAATTTGTCATGAAGTTTTATGTTATTATTTGAATATATCTTTCAAATTAAATCCACTAATTCGTGTACTAAAGTAACATAACATTCTCATTATCATATGACTCTTATAATTTTATGTTCCTTTGGAATTATATTTAGAAGTGAATGGTATAAAAACAAATTTATTCGTGGATCTTATTCATATTATTCGATAAAATCATCGACAAAAGATGGAGAACAATTAAGAGCTACTTATGCACCAGACGGGGTATGACTCTAATTTTCATAGAAAAAAAAAACAAAATCAGAATATTTTATATTCCGTAATGGTATTTATAATAGTGATGAATCGCCTAATTCTATCAAGAAAAACATCAAAAATAATTTTATTAGACAGGAATTAGTTATTGAAAATCGATATATTGATATAAATGAATTTTTATGCATTTATGATAATTAGAAAATGATGAATTAAAATATGCTTTTTTTTTTCTTTCTTTGTTTCATTCTTTAGATTCCAAGAATACAATTTGCTGGTGAAGCAACTAGTGCAAGAGCCTATTCAACTGTTCATGGTGCATTAGAAAGTGGTATTCGTGAGAGTAATATACTTTTGTCAATAATGAATAAATAAATAAAAAGAAAAAAAAACAAAAAGAAAAAAAACACACGAGGATTAATTTCTTTTTATTATTATGCATCTCTTCGAAATAAAACTTCACAATAATATTCTCGTGCGCGTTTAATTAATTGTTTAACTTTTTTCTTCTTTTTTACACCATATTGTTTATTTAACAGTCAGCCAGAAACATTTTTACAACCAATAAAACCATTACAAAAGAAACGTTTTTGTATTCCGTGTGTTTCATTGGATGTATCATTGTTTTCATCATCATTTCGATGATTATGTATATAAGTTTGATGAATAACATCAGCTATACGTTGACATGCATCAGCATGTGATGGTCCAAAAGTTCCAGCAATACACATACGATTAAGATACTCACGTAATTGATTAAGTAGTGTTGCTTGTTCATATATATTTCTTTCATCAAGAATATTTTTAATATAATAAATAAAACCATTGTATGCATGTTGATATTCATCGTCATTTTCATCAATAATATGAGTTGTTGTTCCAGAAATAATTGGAGTTGTATAAATATATGAAATTTGAAATAATATTATTGAAAAAAATATCAATGTCAATGATAAACGATGAGGCATTATTTATTGATATAGTATGATAAAGATAAATGACACAAAAAGAGAAGAGATGTGTCTGTATGAGATTTTTTCCGAATATGAAAAGAGATGAAGAGAATATAAGAAGTTTTTTATATTTTGCTATTATTCTTGCGCTCTATCTCTATCTCTCTCTCTCTCCCTCTCTCTCTCTCTTTTTTTTTCTCTGTCCCCTTTTTTTTGTCCTTTTCTTTCTTAAGAATTGTTTTATTCTTATAGTTAATGATCTTGTAACCGCAGGGAGTCTTTTTCGAACTTCGATCAGTTGGTCTACTTCAATAATTTTTAGCATCAATTATCTATATATAAGAAAAAGAAAATGGTAAGCACTTTTCTTATACAATAGATAATCTGTTATTCTCAAACGCCTACGCATAACAAAAAAATGAATTGAAAGCTCATGTACTTACCAATCATAGTTGAAGATAATTGACAAGTTCAATATTTGTTATATGCGAACAATATGAGACATCGAAATGTCATTTACAGAAAAAAAAAGGTTTCCATATTTTGTTACTTTATTATTATCGTGAGATTCTAAAAATAAACAAAAAAAAAAAAAAAGAAACCGAATAATACTTCATCGTAATAGATTAGTGATATGAGGTTCAATAAGTGTGTATATATTTTAAAAATTTTACTGCTTATTTTATTATGAATATTTTGTAAGTACATATAAAAAAATATCAAATCATTCACTAGTTGTATGATAACAAAAATAAAAATTATTATGCTTATGATTTCTTCTTTGTTTTATAATTAGTCTTTTAAACATGTAATTTGTCCTGTCGATCCTATCATTAACATCAGTTATAATTCTTTCTCCTAAAGTTGACATTTACTATTATTCCTGATTGATATTTAGAATTATTTTAATCATGATAACAAGGTGAATATCTTTAGTTTATTATTCTTTATAATATTTTTTCTTATTGAAAATTTTTTCAAAAACCAAAAAAACTTCTCATCATATTTGTGATCGGTTTTTTGAATGTAAAAATATTGTTATTATTTTGTTTATATTGATTCAATTTATCAATGTGTTAGAGCTTTGTATCGGTCTTCAGAAAGTCAATTTTATTCTTGGATTATGTAGCATTTATTTTTGACAATTGTAACGTTCAATAAACGAAAACTATCCATCCAATAGTCAAGTAACATGAAATCGAAAAAAAAAACAAAGAAAACATCTTCCGAGTTAAAAAGTCATGACTTTGTAGGAGTCTAACACAGTGGTTTCAAAAATTGATCATACAAATTTAATTTTGAATTTTTTTCGTAATGATAACACACATAACAAGCCCAAATAGCGAGTTAAAAATCGCCAAATCTAGTGTTTTAGCATCCAGAATTCGAAAATAAAAGCTCGCTTTGATTAAATGGGAGCGACAGAATAAGTAATTCTTTTCAAAATGTCACGTCTCTGAGCTCGCCATGACATTTTTTGACTGAATTACAAAAATCTGAAGAAAATCCCGAAAGTCATTTTTATGTAGTTCTCCCTTAGGAGATGGCGAAAAACTATTTGTGAACGTTTCTCCATATGGATGTCGTTCATTAAGGAATGTCATGAATATCTCAGAGACATGTTATCTTGTAGAGAACTATAGTCCTATCAACTAAAAGTAGAACTTGAAGTTTGATTCATTTTTCTAAATATTATTATCTACTCTTATTTAATATATATTGTATC